GCATCATTTTTGCAAGATAGCACCTTACCAGTCTTGTTCAAAAAATGCACCAGAAAATAGCTTATTAATCTCAGTGTCTAACTGGCAGATGGAATACACTGAAAACAAGGTTGTTTTTGTCTTTCAGTACTAGTAGTTTTTTCAAGATAAGATGAGCAGCTGCCTTTCAAATCTCCCAAGACTTTGCCATTTTCATTTATTGATATGTTCAGTCTTAAATTCATCCATTCAATCACTCATTCTGTATTTATTGAGCATTTATTTCTTTTCTGTCTCACAGTTCTCAAAAGTCTTCGAATAGGGAAATGAATAAAACACATCTTTTTCTTCTTAAGAGTTCATGAGCTGCAATGTCTGGTGAGTGAGTGCAAGTAGATACAGAGAATAACAGATGAGGACACTGAACTCAGCCTTGGGGAATAGACAGTGGTCAACAGAGGCATTCTGGACAAGATGGATGAGGAGATAGGTAAGGGGACCACAGATCAACTGTAGTGGTTACCTAAGGGGAAAACCTGTTAGGAGGGATAGGATGAAAATAAATGTGCTAGAAAGACTGAGACACAGAAAAAAAAAAGATTAGGGAGAACTCTATATCATATGGATATGCCCTGTGATAGATAAAAGGACAAAAGAGAATTTGATGGGGCAAGATGGCAAGGCAGGGGGATAGCTGACAGAGGGTCAACATTTACATATTTAGGTTTATTATGTTTTTATACATTTACTGATATATTTTATTTTTATGACTCTAGTAACCAGTCTAGATGTGCAGGTTACATTAGGTATGATATCTAGCTCCCTTCAGTCAGGAAACGACGTATGTACTAATCTGATAAAGGTTCCTTCTATCCTTTCCCGTTCTAAGTGTCATATTCATTAGCATGACCGATGAAACCATAATTTGCATTCTCTCAATTCACACCAGCAGCAGCTAAATGAGGTGGCCACTAATTATAAGCAGAAATTGAAACTGAATACAGCAGATTTGCTGTTTTGTTTGGCAAAAGAAACAAGAATAGGCTTGTGTTGACCTATTGAAAGGGGCACATGACAGATATCTTGGGGGTGGGGGTGGCATTCATCAGAGCATCTGGCCAGTTTTCTTTATTTCTTTTTTTGTCTTTACCTTCTCCAAAATATTTCTGGAAATTATCCAGTTAGGTTAGCTTGAAGCTCTGTGCATTCTGTGAGAACAAAGAATTTTTTTGGCAGCATAATGATGGTATAACACAGTACAAAGATATAGAACCATATTACCTACTTCTCATCTAAACTTTTCACAGTGTGGTCAGTATAAGTAGAGTATAGCTCAGTGACCTCTCTGAGCATCATCTACTTGTCTATAAAATAGAATAATAATATCTGCCTTGCAAGATTTTTCTGAGTATGAAGTAATAAATAAATTTAACCCCAGGGTTTGGCATATAATAGGAACTTATTAAACATCAACTATTATTGTTATTTCACCTCCACTGGCCCACATTTTTTACTAAGTTATTTGGGAACCCTCTTACAAATTTTGGGATGTATCACTCCCCAAGGATAAGGATTGTGTCTAACTCATCTTCACATGTATAGCATATGGTATACAGAAGGCTATTTCTTAGTATGTTGGCACATCTACACAATTTAGACTAAAATTTTTCTCTTTCACATAAGTAATCTGTACTTCTCTCTGGCTTGGTTTTGTTCAGGAAAGGCTTAGGATACTGTCCAGGTTTTGAATACTATGGTTGTAATTTGAATTGCTGTAGAACTACCAGATCTACCGATCTAGCTATGGCCTTTGCCACTTCTCCCAAGGGAACACAGTCCAGCTGATTTTGCTCCAGGGGACATCAAGAACAACTCTCGTATATGCCATCTCTCACTCAATCCATTTTCTCTTCCACTTAAGGATCTAGCTTATTAGGTGAATAATCAAGAGTAACTCAATAATTGTATAATCAAGTCTATTGTAAATTAATGTTTAAGTCATTTTAAACATTCTTGTGTCAACTATCATGAAGGCTATTATGTTTCATGGTAACTGGATTCTACTCCTTCAAAGAACTCTTTAAATTAAATTATTTGAATTCTTCAAAGTCAACACCTTTTATTTCTCAGCACTTCCTATCCACTTAATCACCTCTCACAATCTCTTCCATGAAAGTCTCTAGTCTCTTGGTTTCCATAACATCAGTATTACAAAGGTTGGCAGTTACTACCAGTCATCTCTTGCCAGTCCTCAATCTCTCTAATCGCCAAGCAACATTCAGTATGACAACTGTTTTCTTCCACAAATGTCTGGCCCTTGGTTTTCTTAACACTAAGAACTACCCTGCCCTTCCAGCTACTTCTGACCCCAGTGATGCCGTTTTTCTTCCACTTTGCCCAACGCTACTCTTGGAATCTCCCAAGGGTTTTCCCAGTGTCATCTTATTTTCTCTGGTTCTCTGTTCTTTGATGATACTCTCCATTTTTAGTACTTTAGCTATCACTTCCGTAAATATAACATGTGCATATTATCTCTTGAATGACTTCTCTATCCAACCATGATCCCATGTTTCTTATACTGCTGGATCATTTGGAAGATCATCTGGCAGCTCAGAATCAACATACCTAAAATATTTATTGTCTTTCCACTAAAACCAATACCTTATCATGATTTTTGTCAGTGGATATTTTATTTCTCTCAGTCTTAAGAAACTTTGAGTTGATTCTCTCTACCTTTTTTTAATCACCCTTTCTGTAAACTGTTCAGTGTTGCCTACACCTATCTCAGCACTGTCTTTGAATTCTTCCATTTTCTACTTCCTCTGAACCAACCGGATTGCTTGTCAATAGATATGTTGAAGAACATTGTATAAGAATCACAGTCTGGCAAAGGCAAGAGAAATGTAAAAGCAGTAATTACAATGCAATGAGATAGAACTGATAAAAGAGATGCCTACCAGGGGAGCAGAAAAGTCTTCTCATAGATGGTGACAGATGAGCCAAGTCCTGAAAAGATGAATAGGTGTCAGACTGGCAAAAGCAAAATGAATATTCTGGAAATAATAATGTATGCAAAAGAATACAGCCAAAGAAGACCATGACTCGTTGAAGTGCAAATGCTCCCAATGTCTGGAACTCTGGCTTCATGGAAGAATCATATGGGGTAAAGGCAGAAAGAGGCAAAGCTCCCAAAGGTAGTTGAAACAGAGGAGAAGATTTAGAACACCGTTTCAGTTACCTGTTGCTGTATAACTATTGTAAAACTCTATGCCATAAAATAACAATTATGCTTTCTTAAAATCCTCCAACTGAGCAGCAATCTCTGGGGATGGTTCATCTCTGTGGCCTGTAGCACAGGATGGCTTGACTTGACTGGAGCAGGAAGATCCCTGATCCTCACTCCTAATGTTCCTTACATCAACTGAGGCAGCCATACTAACTGGGCTTCTCTTATATTTCCCTGTGGTCTCTCAGTCTTCAATAGTCTACTCAGACTTCTTTACTTGGAAGCTAATTCCAAAGAAGGGAAAACATGGAAACTGCAGAGCTTCTTAATTCTTAGGCTTAGAAGTCACATGGCATTCTTCCCTTATGCTCTATTGTCAAAGCAAGTCATAAGACCCATTTGGTTTCCCAAAAAGGAGAAATTTTGGAAGGAGCAGCATGAATACAAAGGGCAGTTGGCAGCTGTCTTTGCAGATCGTGTACGATAGGCCCTGTGGAACACTGCATTCTATAGAGAATTGTAGGATTTAAAGCTGCAGACGGGTATTTGAAATATGTTTAAAACCATGTCTTTAACCCATTTATGGAATTTGAATTTAGGGGTCAAGGGCCAGTACCTGGAAATAAATTCGCCTCAGAAAAGTGTCCTGCAAGGTCCATGGACCTTGCCATAATTTTTACTCTCTATGGAAGCAAATGGAATGAACAAAGTATGATTGATGCTTTTCTGTTTTAAATCAAAATAAAATCAAAGTACTGCTCAGGACTCTGTTTTCTTCCTCCCCCCCAAAAATGGATTTATATCCTCCATGAGGGAAAAAATTTAAAAACCACCGATCTTCTGCCTAAGGCCATTTTGTTTAGAAATACTAGTGCTTGCTTATTTTATATTTCTGTTTGTACAAATACACCAGGAAAGTCAGATGAAACTTTCAGTGAGGACAGAAGTCTGCTTTGTATTTTCAGGGAGTTTTCTTCTGTTGAAGAATGCATGTGTATGTCATCAGAAAGCTTGGGTGGGCATTTCATTTCCATGCAAAGTGAACACTTTGACTGTTGCCTGTCATCTCCACTATAGTGGTCCACAGGGGCAGAGCCTATGAAAAAGGCACAGAAAATATTTGCATAATTTGAAAGGTTTTATTATACCACTATGGTGTTGAATTTCCTTCAGGAATAACAGTTTTAATAGAAAGGCAATTGTGATGTGAGCAGAGAGGAGCAGAGGCCTACTGTGTGTTAAAGCTTCCTAGAGAAAATTAAGATCCAAAGTTTAGGAATGAACTGGAGATGGTCCTTCTGGAATTTTAGGGATTCATATAGCTGTTTCACCTAAGTGTTCTGGATCCAGAACCTTGATCTATAAAGGAAAATGGTGTATGAATCTGAGGATGGAGCTGGACTGCGTTCACTCCTGGTCAATGTTGAGGTTCTTTCTCAGTGTCACTAAACACTATGGAGGGCATCAAAATATGATGTTCATTTTTCTCTATAGTTGCCAGAGTGCAATGGCTAGAATCTAGATTCCTGTGAGGAGATTTGATCTCATATCTGATTTTGCCATTTCCTATTTACATGACTATGAACAAATTCGTTAGTCGATTTAAGCTTTGGTTTCCACTGCTATAAAATCTCAATGATAATTGTACCTTCCTCATAGGATTGGTGTCAAGGATTAAAAGAATTAAGATTTATTGCCCTTAACCCAGTTCATGGTATGAATAACCAATAAATTTTAACTGCTATTAACAGCAACAAACTTCTTGCTGATTTTGCTGTGTTTATCTCTTTCTCAGGGAGATGTTAATCTCCGTGGCTCTGGGTCAAGTGTTATCTCTTCTTGTTTGTGGAATTGGCCTGACCAGCAAGTACCTGTCAGAAGATTTCCATGCTAATACACCAGTCTTCCAGAGTTTCCTCAATTACATCCTTCTCTTCTTGGTCTATACCACCACCCTAGCTGTCAGACAAGGTAAGCTCCCTATATCTCCAGGAATATACTTTTGCATCTACCTAGAAGAATGTGAGCCATGGCTGAATAACTTTTAGTCACCTAAGGCATCAATAAGACAATTCAAAAACTCTAAATCTCACTTTTCTATTTTGCAGTAATACTGCAAGCAAAATGAATGAATAAATCACAAAGAAGCATAGTTTGTGTGAATTCAGCAAGAAGTAGCAAATGCAGTATAGGCAGAAATGTTTAGTTGCTCACTATTTGAATTCCTGTTAACATTCCTTATGCTTTAGTGTTTCTCTAGAATCAGAATCAGGCCCCACTCAGATTCCCTAAATAATGCTAATCCTGAGATAGACAAGAGCAATTCAGACAAATAAATGTTCTTTGGGAAAGTGACATAAGAAAGATATAAATAGTAAACACAAACAACTCTAGTAATAACACAGGGGAGGATAAAGAAGAGAAAGCTACCACGAATGGTCAGGCAAGTTGGTAAATTATTTTACACTAAAAATAATTAAAGTAATAAAATAAGTCTTCTAAGAATCAATGCAAGAAAAAATGTTTTTTTAAGAAAGCATTGCAAGAAAAAAAGAGCAGTTGAATTGAAAATCCTGAAGTATGTCCTCCCCCAAATAATAACCATTAACTATGAAATATGCATAGAAAAATAATCATTAATAGGTTTAAAAATAATTAAATACATTAGGACACATGTATAACTGTATACATCAGTTCTAATAGTGTTTCTGAAACTTTTGTAGAAACTATTTTTCAGTATTTAATTTCTACATTTATTTGGATTTTTATCTATAATAATATTGCTTAGTTATAATTTTTTGGCCAGTACTTGGTTTTATCTTAGAGAAAGAATAATAATGAACAAGCTGATACTGAATTAATTTTGGATTTGTTTGAAGTATTAGAGAAGCTAATTTCACTTGCTTCTCAAAAATTAGTGCTTTCAGTGTTTGTTTTTTAAAAATTTACCATCAGTAGACATAATTAGCTTAAGAACAAAGTGTCAGCTAAAACCTCAGCTTACCAAAGTTATAGACATTGAATCTCAGCTGTTTCCTCAGCATGTGGAAGCTAATAATTTTGAATGTTACAAATGCAATGTCTAACAGTTATCCCTGCTGTTTTGCAAGTGGTGCTTCAAATCAGGAAAGGGCTCCAGTAAGTAAGGATATGGGGGAGGCATATAATTAGCAATGCATGCCTGAGAGACTGTGGGAATGTGTAACTTGGCCATATCAAGATGAGAGGACTAAGAGCTAAGAGTTGAATGTTAAAATCACTTGATGCAAACTTGAATCAATATTAAAAGAATCTACTAATTATTTAGCCCATTGCAAGGAGTATAATTTAGAAGAATAAGACTAAATGAAGAACAATTTTGCAATACTCTAATATTGAAAAAGGAAATTTCCATGAGAGTGGTGAACGCATCTTCTTTAATGATTTGAGAACTAAACAGTAGGGACTATCAGAGGTGGTGATGGTAGCTTTGGGTTCTCATCCATCTTACCTTTCAGGAGCCCAGAGACTTAACAAGAACCTGCTCTAGGGGAAAAAAAAAATTAATCATTCTAAAAACCAGAAAGAATATATTCAGCAGTTACAGGTAGAAACCAGAAGACATTAGAAAACTAAATGTAGAAAACAAAACAAACCCAAAGTTATATTATCATAATCTACATAATGTGCTAGCCACTCTGTGTGGGCAATCCCTTTTTATTCTTTCAGTATGAGAAATAAGTATTATTATCCAAAATTTTACAAATGAGAAAGCCAAAGCTTTGATGCCACAGGATTCTGCTCAAGCATATGGTTTAGGAAGTAGTAGAGGCACATCGTGGGCCTGGCTTGTGAAGCTGTGGGACTGCAGGGCCCAAGCTGCCTCCCCATGTGAGGTTCAGGGGAGGATGCAGGAGATTTGGGAGATTTTTCTGAACAAAGATAGAGGTGAGTTTGTTCCTTCGTTTGTTTGTTTGCTGAATTTCAAAACCTTTGAACAAGAAACCAGCCCTGGGGTGTAAGATCTAGTGAGACACAGCAATGAAGCCAGGAGGAAGTCATAGATCATATGGGGAAAGGGTTGGCTCAAATAGGAAGAGGGACAAATGGAAAGAGACCAAAGACTTGGGGCATCTAGGTGCCTGGAGGCTCTTTGGAAAGGAAGGCTGAAGAGGACCTAGGGAAATTCTGGCTGAAATTCCTCAGGATGGAAATCAATTTCTAGAATGCCCTCTCTGGAGATTTTTACTATTGCCTCATTATCACTAAATTTGCTGGTATGTCTTTATTTGTGTGTTTACTTGGAGTGTTTACTTGTTTTAAGCTTCATCTTTAGAGTTTTAATAGGCTGGCATTAAGCTAACATCTGGAAATCAACAGAGTAATTACATTAATTTTGTCTAGGCTGATTCAGTGCTATGTTCTAGAGACATAACATCTTTTCATTAAGGCACCTCAAGATTTGGGAAGGAATGAAACACAGAGAAGAGGCCAGGAAGTCCTGTGTGTATGAGAGAGGATCTCTCATAGTCAGTTTCTCCTCTTTTCCCAGTGTTGCTCAAGGGCTGAGGGTTAAGTCTGAGCAAGGTGCTGGTCTTTCTAGCTTTCCAAGCACATACCAGCTTCTCTGCTGGGCCCCCATAGCAGCTTGATAAGACCTTAGGCCCATAACAGCTGGAAGTTAGACTTATGAATATGTTTTTTTAAACAAATCTTCTATCATGTTAATCATACAGCTTCTAAAAATGTGTGATTATCACATTTGAACACAATGTAGTAAATGCAGGAAGTTCTTCAAGAGCAGTAGGGTAATGTTACTATGAAAACCCTGCCACAGATTGACTTCAACGTTAAGCTGAATTGTCCCCATCATTTTTGCTGGGGACCAATGGTGAAATGACAGAGGCAACAGCTTCCAGTATGAGTTCTGGTATGAAGTTGAGTTTTGAACTTACTCTTGACTATTAATTAATTCTTACAGAAATTTGGGTACTATCCCTTCTTCAAAAAAAAAAAAAAACTCTATTGAGTAAATTTTAAGTCTAGCCTTATTCATAATTGGAATTAGGGTTTCTTTCAGAAGGTTCTGAAAAATTTTTTTAAAAAGCTTACTATATATAATGAAGACCTTTAAAATATGACTCTGTAGAAAGAACTATACTTCAAAAATGTAGTTCCACTGACAGTGTGTATAGTTTGAGAATTTCAGTAAAATTTAGATTACTTGTACTTTAATAGCTTGATTGTAACCATACTGGGAAATTATTTGGGAAATGAAAATGAATCTTTAAAGAAATGTCAGAAATTCAGATAATTCATGCAGTATATCCAAAATAGGGCTCAGGATTATGATTTTAAAAGTATAGTAGGCTTCCAAAAACTCCTATGATAAAAATTCAAGTGTTTTTTAGAACTCAATTTCAGCAGTTCTTCAGTAAAATATATAGTCAATAATTCAACTTCCTTTTCTTCTACTATCATTTTTCTATGTCTTTGTCTCTAATTTAAGGAGGTAAAAGGCAGGAAGCCAAGGGTAAAAAGAAAACACTTTCTGGCCTTGTTCTCTTCCTCAAGTCATAGTGGCAGGGAGAAAAATGAATATGAGGAGTGAATAGAATCAGAAGTGTCTGCCACTTTTTAATGTGCACACCCTGGAAATGAAATAAAATGTTGCCACCATTGAACATCATTAGAGTACTAACGATCTCAATATTTCAGGTTCTATAAGTTTTGCTTTTTCATTGAAAGGTATTTTTATAAGTCCTCCCAATTTTGAATACAAACAAACTGCCAGTTAAAAGCAATTTGACGAGCACTGCATGTATCTTGCTTTCCAGTAAATTCTTGAAACATAAACATTATTCAATCTATTTATTAAATCATTTATATATTTTTCTGTCAGTATAAAAATGAAATGAGTCTTTAATAGTACCAATAGAGCACTCATAAAAATATCACCATATAGAATCTTTTTTTTTCCCCAAAGAAAGAATGCCAAAAAGTGAACTTTATGTGATGTCGCCCACTGCCCGCACAGGCAATAGAAATGTGGTTCCCCTCAGTGGAATGGGCTGGCTGAGAAAAGCTAAAAAAAAAAAAAAGAAGAAGAAGAAGAAGAATGTTGGAAAAACCACAGAACACAAAAAGTAGTTTCAAAAGTGGGGGCAGGATGAGCAAGCCAATCAGACAGATGGAGCTTCTATACTCTAGCAAAATGGAGCCCACGCTTGCTTTATTTATATCAGGGGACATCAAATACAGGGATAAGGTTTCAAGGGCAGAGTCTTGCTTCCTGGTATCTTGCAGTCAACAGGTTGATTGACATCTTGACAGGCTACACCCATCTCAGGTGCTGTGTGGGATTTCTGTGAAGGGGAAGTTCACCTGCATTAGGTGATCAGTCCTTGTGGGGGTGCCATAGGAGGTTCCCAATGCCAGACTTATCCCCTCATTAGGCTGCTATGCACCACATAGTTCTCACACACAACCCACAGAAGGCTGGTGACGATGTGAGAAATGTTTTTGTTTTGAATATTACATTTTAGAAGGTAGGAACCCTAGAGGGCTAAGTCCCAATTTCAGTTCTAAGAGACTGGAGAAATGAGGTCATTTGGGTATTGCAAGTATTCACTCTCTCCCAGAACCATCTACCCACCATATTTCATTCTCCACCTGGACCGCTCAAGTGGGGTAAAATAAATAAGAGATATATATGAACCTGACAGCTTTATCTACACGTGACAGCTGAATGCAACTCTTAACCAATGGTCTGGTCCTTAGCAATTAAAATAAATATTCATCTCATAACTTGTGCCAAAATAAAAAAAATTGGGGGGGTTGTTTTGTTTGTTTGGAGTTTTTGTAGGGTGATGGGGATGATAGCTTGGGTAAGCAGTGACCAGAAAGCAATTTTTGCCTCTTCCAACCCAGGACAGGAGGGTTCTTATTTTCTTTCTAGAAACACTGTACTTTTTATAACTACAGACTAAATT